AAAATAGTTGATTAGCGTCCTTAGCTTTTGCCAAAAAGTGGGCGGGCGCTTTTTTTTTAATTTTTACTAATTTTTAACGCCTTGGTTTTAGGTCCGAAACTGGATTTTCTTGCGCAGTACAGATATTTTTTTATATATTTCAAAATATGATTCATACCGTCATTTTCGCACGCAATTTCGCAACTTATAACACAATTGACTACAGTCAACAGAAATACTACATATATTAGAGCCCGTTGATCAATAAAAGTTGGGTTTTTTTAAATAAAAAATTTTAAAAAATCCTGAGCGGGGCCTTTTTTGTGGGCGGGCGAAGACGCTAACCAACTATTTTTTTTATGTGGCCTTACAAAATGAACATGACACATTCTTCATTAGATCTTTAGTAATATATAGTCGTATATGATTCTTATTCTGGCGTATGTACTCGAATAAATGCGTGTGAAGATTTCAAATTTCGCCATAAACTGATGAACAGGAATATAGCATGCAGTGAACTCCTTGTCTTTTATCTTGAACGATAACATGCGCGAGAAATATGAAGCCAATGCCAATGCCAATGCCAACGCCACTTCACGCTAACGCCAGCTTTCTGAGGCGCTCTAATTCGTGATAGACCGCGCAGTGATGGCGTAAAGGGGACTGAAACTGACGTACTATATGGCGTGGAGGGCGACGCTGTTCACGCGTTGCTAACGCGAGGCTTCACTTTTTGGTAAAGTAAAATAAATTGAATTCAGTGGTTTTCATACGCCAACAATGGCAATAGTATAATCGTATTAAATACTTCGTCAATCTCGTACCCAGAGCCATCGTTGAGTGGCTCTGGGTACGAGATTGATACTTTTAAAATGCAGTTGCCTTGTCCTCTGTAAAATACCTCACATAAGAGGGTCCTGAAGGGGCGGGTCTCAATCCCATTTCCCACCTGAAAATTTGGCAAAATCCCAGTCCCAGTTGGATTTTTATTAGAAATCCCAGTCCCAGTTGGATTTTTATTAGAAATCCCAGTCCCATTTGGATTTTTATTAGAAATCCCAGTCCCAGTTGGATTTTTATTAGAAATCCCAGTCCGAGTTATTTGAATCCCAGTCAATAAAAACCCCTTTATTTATAGGAAGAATAAACAGTTTTAAGACCTTTTAATTAAGCCACCGTGTGTGCAAGTGGCGGACACTTTATGGAAAATTTTTAAATTTGAATCCCGGAAACGGCATTTACAGCATTCTGAGACACACATAATCAGAAAACCCAGAATTCCGGGCGCCAGAGTATGCCTGTTCGCAGGTAGTGCTGTGAATAATATAGTCAACAACAAAAATCATGACCAAAGACACCAAAAACGGATCAAAATTGGGAATCGACTCACATTACTTCAATCCCATTCCCATTTTTGAGGACTTCAAGGCCCATTCCCAGTGGCAAAATCCCAGTCCCTGCAACCTAAATCCCATTTTCCCAGTCTAAAAATAGATCAATCCCAGTTCTCTCATTTTACACCTTCAGGACCCTCACATAATATTTATGCTCAAAAATGTTTTAATATGTGAACCGAATCTATTTTTCATAAAAGAGACTTAAAGAATGAGAAAGCAATTCTATTCATGGCAAATTATGTTTCACTGTAAGCATTCTATGTGATAGACAATCTCAATATCAATACAACTAACTGCAATAATTTGGCTAACGTTATTTACATTGTTGCTACCCAATTCACAAATTTAAGCCTGGTTTCCATATGGTCGTTAATGGTCGTAAAAATAGTCACGATCTTTCTCAACGGCCGGTTTATACTAATAATTCATACGTGTAAACCACATACAAATCATGAATATTCTCTAGTTTTTATCAATCCGCGTGTTTTCAGTTCTAAAATGTTGTATTTCGGCTGATGAGAAAGATCGTGACTCAATCTTTACGACCGTTACGACCATATGGAAACCGGGCTTTTGATAACTCACATACCTAGTTACTGCATGGTGTTCTAGTTTGCAGAAGCAGATTAATTATTTAAAAAAAATGAAAAAGGTCATCAAGTTTAGATTAGTGTCAGATAAAGATTAGATTAGGGTTAGATTAAGATCATGTTAGGTTAGGGTTCAACATGTGTCGCGAATTTATTGTAATGATAAATTCGGACGTGTTCAACAATTTACTCATATAGTAAATTCAAAGTTGGAGCTCATGCTGAATAGAACAAAGGTAATAACTAAGCATTAAATTAGAATTATGTGAAAAAGTTATTCACTCCTTACTTTGCGCGGTTCTATTTTATGCTTCTGTTAACTAACTCAACACTAACTAGGTATGTGCGTTATTTAAAGCTGTGAATTGAGTATAAACAAACGTTAGCCGCCCATCCCATCCCAACAGGACTTCTTACTCATGACAACACGACTCTCGACCCACGATTAATGCTTAATTTCCATGCGTATTTATTTAAGAACTCATTAAGGACGCATGTTATGTTAATTGGCTCATCATACATCAGGAGCAGACAAGTAAAAGTGCGCAACGTTGCTGATAAAATCTGCGCCTTTCATGACGCGATTACGATAACTTAAACACTTATGTTCGTTGAAATTGAGTTAAATATGGCAAATGAAAGCGAAATATACAATACAACTAGCGTAAACCCGACATCTGGGGGCCTTACGAATGGGTCAGAAGCGCAGATACCCGTCGCCGAACCTCAAGCCTTGAGAGTGATCCGGATTTTGCTTTATGTGGTAATATTTTTTATTGGAACAATTGGAAATGTTTTGGTGCTTTTGGTTGTCTATAAAACACCTTCACTGCGTTCAGGTAGGCGGGAAATGTTTTGTATTAATACTGAGCCTGAGAGAAAATGGAATTGCCATATATATTATACTGTATATGGTAAGATTTTTGGCATCTATATACACTCGACATAACTAATTGTAGAAAAGTTTAGTAAATGCAAATTTTGAGTGTGAATTTTATAAATGGTATAAGAACATATAGTTATATTTTAAAATATTTTGTTTTCACAAGCTAGACTGTACTTTATTAACTAACTTTATTTATACTGAATAGCTCTAAACTGTCTCTCTCTGAATCAGTTCTAAACTGTCTCTCTAGGAGGTCAGTATAATGCATGGTAATATTTGCTGGCTAGGTGTCACTACAGCTATAGGAGACCCAGGCTTTTCAGTTTAGATATTGGGTAAGGAGAACCATATATTGGTGTCCAAGGCCAGTAATAATTTTATGCCACAATCGTCCCTAATTGTGCCAAAACTAAACTAACTTCGACAATGGATAGACCTTGCTAACTAGTAAAGTTCTCGTTTACTGGATTTTTTACAATTTTAGCAATAATCATAATCATAATCACAACTCTGAGAAATATTCACTAAAACAGAAACTAATGATTAACATGTACTAAAATCTGATAAAATTAGAGAGGAATTGATTAACATACGACATAAATTTGACAGTTAAAATTCAGTGATTGACGAGTATCATTAGTTTGGACTTGGATCAATAAGGGATTGGCCTTGCTGAACCTTTAGGGAAATTTAAAACTGTTTAGAACTGATAGAACTATCGAGTGAAAATAGAATCAAGTTCAGTTTATAGTTTTGTAGTTAACTATAGTGCTGATTGTAATTTCATAATAGTAAGTAACACCACTGGCTAGAGCTATATTGCTATTCGTGCGTAAAATATGCAAATTGTGGTTTTTCGGGCGATTGCGCGAAAATTATACCTTAGCTATTAGTAGCAGTAATTTATACCACGTGCGCACAATGTGTATGTATATCAATTACGCGCGATCAAGCATGTAAATTATAAATCATCCGCGCTATACAATTGTTGTGTGCGGTATAGCCATATATTTCCAAATTTGGCGCGCAATTTATTCAAAAACGAGAAACGTTTATAATTGCGAGAGTTGATGAAATGTTGAAGCAATTATCTTGAAATGATGAGATCATATTGAGTGATAAAAAATTCCGAAAACTTTTAAAACCCGAAATGATATTTGCTGTTGGATGGCCGTTACATTCGTTAATACTAGAGCTTATATTTTAACAAGGTTTTGCTATAAATTCTCATCTCAAAGCGAACAAGATAGTTGTAACTATTACATATAATAAAGACTCTAAAGATTTCTGTCATCTTAATTATAAAGCGCAAATGAGAAAGCCATGGCGTTTCAGAATGAGTAATCAATCTCTATTTGACTTGCCGACATGTTTAATGACAAAAAGATGTTCAGACTATATGCATTGCAACCAGTACTCATCGTTTGAGCTATTTCAAAAACTTCACTAGGCATGGCTCACCTTACATAATTTGAGTCAAAATGAAGAAAATCATTACGGTATTTTTCGTCTTGAAAAACAAGGCCCCTGCAAATTTGTACAAACTTTTAAAGAAACACATAATATCCCAACAATTAGATCATTAATTACTGATCTAAAAGTTCCCAAAGTTACTATATTGAGTCTGGGAAATCAAAGATACCTTATTGTGGGACAATGTTATTTTAATCTCTCCCAAACCATTTATAAGATATCCAAAACAACTTAATAATAAAAATTTCAAAAATCCATTAACACAAAACAACAGAAACTCCATGAATTGTTGGAAAAACAACTCTGATGCCAAATAGACAGTTTTTGCCGCATTGATAATGGTCATGATGTCAAATGAAGTGATTGTCGTGAATTCCTTACACAATTTCCGACCTATAACACGTGTAGGCGTGTCTATTCACTAATATAAACTTTTCTCAGCCACGACAGCCAAAACATGCCAGGTCTGTGATTCATTTTCCAGATGTTTAAAGCCCAGCGCACACTAGTGCAAGTTGCAGGCACACTTGTCATTCGTGGCCAATTACATGCTAGCCTGTGTCCCGGCTATGCAGAAGACTGGACGAGATTTCAAGTGCGCGCAATTTGATCCGAGTCCGAAGCCGAAGACTAGATCAATATGCGGCGACTTGAAATTTAGCCCAGGCAGAATTGAAAGATTTGAAATGACATCTCATAAGAATTAAATCACTATTTAAAGTCAGGTGAATTAATATTGATCCAGTCCAAGGACTAAACTAATTTCGATCCAGTCCCAGGACTTCACCAGGTATCCTGCAGTGTTATCTTGTGAGCAAAATAAAGCAATATGGTTGGCTAATTTACTCATGAATTATTAACGACTTGAAACACTTATTTTCATGTTAACTTTACGCCCTTGGTTTTATGAAATATTTTTCTTTATTTTATAGTAACTGGCTATATGATCGCGAATCTAGCTGTGGCGGACTTAATGGTAGCATTGTTCTGTCTCCCAGTCACACTCGTTTATATGGAGCTCAAAACTTGGCCATTTGGTTACGCCATGTGCAAAATACTACCATTTGTTCAATCTATATCTGTCATGGGATCCGTGGGGACATTGACGGTCATCAGTATCGGTAAGGAATATAAGTGGATATAAGTGCATCTAAAATCTGATTGGCTATCACAATCCAAATTATATCATATGTTACGGCATATCCTAATCCTAACTCTAATTACCCAGCCTCATCCACAGCGCCATATTCTAATTCTCTCAAAATCTACTTTCAGATCGCTATCGGTGCATTGTCAATACATTCGCGTCCCGATTATCCATGGGTGTCCTCAGAAAGCTTGTCTGTCTTATATGGTCAGTGGCGGTGGTCCCTGCCTTGCCGTTACTTGGTGTAAACACGCTGCACGAGTACTCCCCAAAATCAATACAATGCATGGAAAAGTGGCCCAAACTCAAATACCAGACGATATACAGTACCGTATCATTTGCGCTAACCTACGCCATTCCCCTGACTATAATGTGCCTGCTATACGTCAAAATAGCAATTGCATTGAATAAAGTTGTCAGAGAAGGAGGGAACAGAGAGGGCTTTACCAACCAGAAGAAGAAAGATAAAGTGCTGCGAATGTTATTGGCTTTGGTCATCGCGTATGCCACGTGTTTTCTACCCAATCACGTGATCGTATTATGGGTCGAATATGGAGACGGAGGGAGCAACAGGTAAACTGGATAGCGCAACCACTGATCTAAAATATGTACTGATTGAAAGCCGTGGATTGATAGGGATATAAAACAACACGCGTGAAAATCTCACAGCTTGTCAATAAGATGTGTTCGCACTGCTTGTTCCCAGTTGTTGAGAAGTCTGGAACAAGTTGTTATCATCTTTTAGTTCAAATTTGTGCGGATTTCTATTGTTCTCAGTCGGGTTTTATTTGGGTAAGATTCTTAAAGCAAGGGGAGGGATTTGATATCTCTCCAGGGAAAAGTGGGGTTGATGAATAGAATTGAATTAATAAT